AAAGAATGCCGTCTTCTGGGATGTGGCGCCGTGGAGATATTTTGTTAACCGACGTATCAGAGGAACATATCGACTGAATCTTCAGTGTATAAGAAATCCGCGAGAGATGAACCAGCGTGAGCAGGCGTCTGTAGACACGTCGGTTAACAACATATCTAAACGGCGCCACATTCCGGAGGACGGCATCTTCACAGTCACCGCCGTGAAAACCTCAAATCCCACAATTGTTGTACAATACTTCATGTTTCAATTGCCATGAAAATCTGTCAAAGACCTTAAAAATGCATGTCAACTTTTCTCCGTAAGTAATATGACCATTAAATTTAACAAATTAAAGAAACAGTAAGGCTATCCCTGTAACAGGCTGTGGAGGACCATAGGGTTGTGAGACGTCGAGGCTCCCATATCCTCTAGACAATCGGCTCATATATGGCGGTGAGGAAGTCAGCCTTACGCACCTGCCGCCTTTACCACTAGGAAGATTCCTGGTTCTCATTTCTGTTAGAGACCGAGTCGTCCCCAGGGCCACAGTGCGGCTGGAAGGATTAAGTCAATAGGAAATTCACCTCATAGGGACTCGAACCCATGACCTTCCACCTTGTAGCATAGTTCCTCAACCAACTAGGCTATCGCGTGCCCAAAAAATCAATAAATTACGCCTAAATTAAACCATTTTGACCAAGATCTTTGTAGATTTACCATGTCAAGTTTGATTAATGTCGGCCAGTTGGTTTGGGGCCCTGATACTTTGCAGACGCACGGCAAAGATGAAATTAATAGGCGGGTTTGAAATGTCCTTAACAAGGACTGTGATTCCTGTTTGACGATAATGACGTGCTCTTGTACCTGTACCAAGTATCAATTGTTCATTTTCATCGAAGTACAAAGAGAAATTCTGACACAATACGTCCCCCAAAATACCGAAACAAAGAATATTGTGAAAGCATAAACCAGTGGGAACATAATCACATACTTTCTTTTCAATCACTGTGGTGTGACCTCGCATTTGTGTGTGTTTAAATCTGGAAATCTGAGACTATCATATAAGGGAATGCAACGTCCTTTGGCCAAACAGAATGAACTTGCTAGAGTGGTAAGTTAGATCATTTTCTGTTTTTAGCTGTTCAGAAGTTCTCTGTTATAGAACTCGGCACCTCTTTCGCCATGACCATATGTTGCCATTGAATACTGAAACACGAATCTAGCAAACTTAACCTGAGCCCTGGACAGCAACACCATGTGAGAAATGCTGACAAGTTGATGGTCTTCCCTGTACACGACTGGTCTAATGTCGAAATCAAACCTTATGGGAAATACAGAAACGAATTCCGTCTGCACAGCATAAATACTTTATTAATTCACTCACCCACGGAGCTGAGCCCTTCTTGAGAAGCCGCCAATTGTGCAGATACTCAATAACTTCCCAGCATTTTATGGAAACCGAAGGTTCATTACTGTGTTCACAACAGTCTTCCACTTGTTTCTATCCTGAGTCACATCAATCCAATCCATACTACCCCATCCTATCTCTCTTAGATCCATTTTACTATTATCCAACCACCTACGCCTTGGTCTTCCTAGCGGTCTTCTTCCTTCTGGCTTTCCCACCAGTATCCTATATGCATTCATCTTCTCCCCATTCGTGCTACATGCCCTGCCCTTGACTTGCTCATGGTATTCTGCATTACATATGTTATTAATGACAGGCAGATGTCTATTTTTCTTATCTCATATTATCCAAATATCTGTAATAAAGATGACAGCTTTTGTCTCATGGTAACCGTATCTCCCAGCATTCTATTAAGCTTTGCTCTGATGTGTAATTACAAGAGACTAACTCAGGATCAGTTGAAAACCAGCGATCCAGATAACTGATAAAACAAATTGTCACAGTCTTACCTCACGTAGACAACAGAAAAAATTGACAGTGGTAACCATATGTACAAAACTATAATTTTACCTGTGATTCTGTGTGTGTGTGTTAAACTTGGTTTCTAATATTATGGGAGGAACACAGACTGAAGGTGTGTGAGAGCAGAGAACTGAAGAGAATATTAGGCCGAAGAGGGAGAAATAACGGGAAGTTGGAGAATATTGAATAATGAGGAGCTTAGTAACTTGTACTGTTCTCCAAGTATAATTAGAATGATAAAGTCTAGGACGACGATATGAGCAGGGCATGTAGCACGCAAGGAGGAGAAAGTGAATGCATATAGGATTTTGGTGGGAGAGCCAGAAGTTAGATACCGCTGGATAGGCTTAGACGTAAGGTAAATTTGTCCCTCTGCTTAACTAATTAAGCATCACATAATGAAAGTGTATGGGGGAGTGGATATATAGGTCCACATTTTCTTGACCTGGGCACTAGTTGGAGATGAGTGGTCAACTTCACGCCTCGGCTGCTTTACCCCCAGATAAAGAGCCCCCGGTACCCATTGTATAGGAAGTTTGGTGTCTGTCGGTGTGGACGGCGTGGAGAAAAGAAAATTCTTGATCCTACCGGGTCTCGAACTCCAACCCCTGGTCCTCCAGCCAGTAGCGAGTCGCTATACCGACTGCGCTATCCCAGCTCCCTCCTAAACATAGTTAAGAGGATAATAATTATATGGATCTTAGAAAGTTAGGCTGGAGTAATATGGACTGGACTGATCTGGCTCAGGATAGGGACCAGTAGACGGCTCTTGTGAACACGGTAATAAACTTTCTGGTTCCGTAATATATTGGGATATTCTTAGGCAGCTGCGCAACCGGCGGCTTATCAAGACAGGCTCAGCTGCATGCAGTTAACCATACATACCATATGACCCAATGTTCAGCACAAGCATTCGCGAATTTCAGTGTGATGATTTAGGTGAATCACCAGCAGCGTTGCAGTGTGAAAGGTGGACACAGCTTCAAGTTACATCTTCACTTAATGGAGTGGGATTTTGGTGAGTTGCGGAGAAATACTACATTTCAGTGTGATTTTAATTTATGCTTACTTAGCAGTTAGTGAGGCAATGATCTGTGAGTTATGAACTGGAAATAGTTTGGAATAAATTGGTTGTGATCTATTTTTAGGTACAGATGGCTGAAGGAGCCGATGAATACCACACCCGGCTACAGTCAGCATAGCCAGTTCGTGGTCTCCTGCCATGAAGATGGAGGCATCACGCTCCTCCGAAATATCTACAAATATATACCCGGCATCATACCTGAGGACAGTGATCTTCATGTGGCTGGATATTTGAACCAAAGACATCTGAAGTAATAAGCACTGATAAATTTCAGATGATTAAATATTTTCACCGCCAACAAGTACGTTTTGCCTCGGATATACAAATGCTTGTGAAGATACAAATTGTGTGCTTAATTCAACATACTAAAGAGCTTTGTAATCTGCATTCCTCATCTCATATTGCCGGGATAGCTCAGTCGGCATAGCGCCTGACTACCGGCTGGACGAGAGATCGGAGTTCGAGTCCCAGTGGGGACAAGAATTTTCTCTTCTCAATGTCGTCCACTCAACCTCCTATCAAATGGGCACCTGGGGCTCTTTCTCCCAGGGTAAGGCAGCTAGGGCGTGAAGCTGACCACTCACCTCCAACTAGTACCGAGGTCAAGAAAACATGGGTCTGTACATCCACTCCCCCATACGTCTGCATGGCGTAGTGCTTAATTAGTTAAGTACAGGGACAGCTTTACCTTACCTTTTTTTCATTGGCGCTACAGCCCTCATTTGGCCTCCATGAAACTCTCCGTTTCACTTCGGTTTTACTAGATCTTAAGACATACGGTAGGAATCCTTGGGCGGGTGATCAGCTCGTCGCATTGCCTTTACCTGTACACAAACACAGAAAAACGCACACAAACATCCATGCCCTGAGTGTGATTCGAACCCACGATCCCGGCGTCCGAGCGAGCGAAGACAGTGCATGCCTTAGACCGCTGGGCTACCGTGACCGGCCATTACCTAACCTTTACCACCTCATATTATTACATGATGAAATCTTTGAGGCGGTCGGTAAGGAATACTTTTCCAGACCATCAGTTTAGATCTTAATGGGGCGAGAAAGCTGTCAAAATGGAAAAAGTTGAAAAGTAGACAGTAAACATTCTGGAATGAACAAAAGGGGCTGAAGGGACTGAAAGAGAGACCTCGGCCAAGGGTTCTGTCCTTGGGATGTTTTAAAAAGTGCGTCAACTCGTTCGGTTTGAAGAGAGGTTACTGAATGTCGAGCTGTTTAGTGTGTTAAAAGAATACTCTGGAACAGTTGTTCTCAACTACCCGGTACAGGGCCCTGGTGTCAATCATACTGGGCCCTCGTCTTGTAAAGAGAGAATCTATCGGCCCGCGGCGTCTCAAAGTTTGAGAACCACTGCGCTAGGATCAATAAGCAAAATTTGTTCTTATCTGTGATTCATTTAGTTGAGAACAGCAAGTTGTCTTTCGCATGTAGCCACAGTTTCATACCTCCATTGTCACAATCTTGCTCTCCTGACATTGCTTGCGACCCTGATATCCCTGAGTTTGACCTGACCTAGTTTCAAAACCTCGCTTTGAATATCATTCCCCGAAACCTCGAAACCATACGTCAGTGTCTATAGAGTGAAGAAAACGACCGAGTTTGAGCGGGCGTACCAGGGAATGGGGTTTGTACTCGTGTAAGCAGGCATTAGGGATAGTTTGGAACACTTCGTCAGCCCCGCTAGCCAGCGTGTACCGGTACAGTTTCCAGGGCTACACAGTCAACGTCAATTGGGTATGAGAAAGTATGTGTATGTCACTGCACAGATTTTTTTAAACTTTTATTGTTTCCCCAAAAGGTCACGGATGGTGCCCAGATTTCTGAAGTGTTCCCCCACCCCCATTGACGACCATGTTCACGTGTTTATTGCATTTCAAGTAAAACGTAAACACATAAAATTAGAAGGTAAAGGTATCCCTGTAACAGGACGTGAAGACCCATAGGGTGTGAGAGGTCAAGGCTCCCACATTTTCTAGACAATCGGCTCACAGATGGCGGTAAAGTTGTCAGCCTTACGCGCCGGGCGCCCTTTACCCCCAGGAAGATTCCTGTTAGTCTGAGTCGTCCCCAGGACCATATTGCGGCCGAAATGGTTAGGTCAACTGGAAAAATCCACCTCATCGGGAATCGAACCCGCGACTTTCGGCTTGTAGCATACTGCTTCAACCAACAACGCTACCACGTGCCCCCCATGCATAAAAATAACGCATTCGTATTTTGAAAACTGATATTCTTGTATAAATAAGAAAGTGAAGGAGGATGAGATGGGCATTTCATGTAGCATGCATAGGAAGAACCGGAATGAATACAGGATTTTTGTGTGAAAGCGAAAAGGAAAGCCACTAGCGTGACATAAACATAGATGGGAGGATACTATTAAAAATGGATCTTAGAGAGATGGGATTGGTTGGTACGGATTGGATTGATCTAGCTTAGAATAGGAATCAGTGGAGGGCTCTTGTGAACACGGTAATGAATTTTCGGGTTTCGTAAAATGCTGGGAAATTCTTGAGTAATTCAGCGACTAGCAACTTCTCAAGAAGGTTTCATCTGCGTGGAGTTAGACGTTCTTATGAATTTCGTTTCTCAAATAGATTTCTAAATAGATACGAATAGACTGAGAATGTTAAAAGATAAACGTCAACAACAACAATAAGTGATTCTTTCAGTTTCAAGATGGCTGAGTTCTGTAACTGTTCCTTAATCGCCATTAAAAAGTGTCCCTTATGCGGGAATGTTAGCTGAAAACGTACCATTCATATTGGATATATCGTGCCTGCTTCTTTGGATTCTCCTTCATCGTGTGGCGTTGTTTCTTCACCTGGCCGCATGATGGCGCTCGGATCGATACCTGCAGCAGAGGAGTCGAGCGTCAGTTGAAAACAGTCTGCCGGAGATGTAGGAGTGTTCGTGTGTGGTGGAGTTTGTGTCGGAAATGAACAGTGCTGCCTTACATAGGAAAGATGTAAGGCGTATGTCGCTGGACTTTTTGTAACTCTGACTCAAGTATGAAGCTAAACGTATTAGATTCCATACATTCAATGAGTGAACCATGTTTCATATTCATTATGTGATAAATGAATGTACGTCAAACATGGCCTTTTGCGAAAGACATTGTTTCTGGATTATGACATACACGTGATCATCTTGATACCGCTAACATAACTCGAAATTATTTCTGCTTTACAAGTGCGTGTGTGGTTACAAACATGTATTTCGTATCTAATGGCGACTGTATACGGCAGTATTGACATTGTGGTTGAGTGTTAATTCGGCGAAGATGCTGATCCGTGTTCTGATCTTCTCGACTTTAGTCCTCGCAGTTAACTTGGTTGCTGGAATATTTGCCAAGGACCAGATCAGTCAAGATTTCAGCCCGAAGAACCAGCATGATTTCTACATTAAAGGTTAGATTTAGAAATATAACAGGTATATTTATAAGAGAGATGCATTAATTGTCGGTAAATGGTATGTAGGAATCTGTGAAATTCACAGCTATTCATAGGTTACGACTGGCTTGTAATTCATTTTACGATTTGTAGTTTATTTTATGGGACCGCCTCTGCGGCCTAGTGGTCAGAGTTCATGGCTACAGATCCAGAGGTCCCGGGTTCGATTTCCGGCACTACCACATTTTCTGGTTCTGGAACGGGGTCAGCTCAGCCTCGTGAGGATAATTGAGGAGCTGTTTCAAGAAAATAGTGGCTCCGGTCTAGAAAACTGAAGTTAACGGCAGTGGGAATCCGTTGTGCTGACCACGCGACACTCTATCCGCAAAAGTTGGCACTAACTTCGCCGACAAGCGGCGGTTGCTCGGTCGGTATAGTTCGCTTACGGACTCAAGCCATGGAGTTTGCTTTTGTCGTTATCTACACCGTATATCGTCGACTGTAAAATGATTGACGAAAGATGAATTGGAAATGATTTTGAAGAAATCGGTCTCGGCCAAATCGAGATATTCCGGAATATTCCTGCAGTAATTGAGGAGAACCACGAAAACCGTGAGTGAGGATAGTCGGTGTCGTAGCTGAGATTCGAACTAAACAACTTCCGAATAAAAGTATGAAGCGTTACCGCTAGACCAACCTAGTCGGTCGTGAAGTAGTGTTATTTATTAATTATCTGTAATTTACTTATTGATGTTGTAAGTGTCACAGCCTATTTTATGTCATGATTATATGACAATAAATAAAAAAGTGTAGAGGATTTAGGAGGAAGCTGTCGTGGTCTCATCGCGGTATTACCTCAGCATTAACCTTGAGGGACTCATATAAAACAGGATAGTTCTCATTGAGGATAGCCTCCCTCCTCTCCGAGATTCGAACGTAGTACCTCTCGACTACAAGTCTAGGGTGTTCTTGTTACACCAGCCTGCTCGATGATATGAATAGGAATTGTGTAATGTAATGTTAGGTCTAATAACTAGGCGTGAACATGAAATTCAGCGACTGGTAGGCCTGTGTTGTGAATCTGTTCAGTTTAGAAATTAACCAGTATTCTTGTTATTAAAACCTGAAGATTTTCCAAATGATTCTTTCAAATGTGCATATCCTATGTACGGACTACAGTAATTTTGCATGTAGTTAAATGAATTAACCCCTTAGAGCCCAGTGGTTAATGTATGTACCACCTGCTTTAACATAATAAAACTCCGCGTTCTGCCCACAGAGTGTATCTGTGTTCCGTATGGTTCTCACAGTAAACAGCGATTATCTCCCTAAACAGCATTAACCGGTTGGACTTTGTAGCGGAGACGTAATGTGTTTTCGGTGAGGTACGAACTGAATCTTTATATTATTTGTGTGTTCACAGTAAACAGCGACTGTTTCCCTAAACAGCATTAACCGGTTGGACTTTGTAGCGGAGACGTAATGTGTTTCCTGTGAGGTACGATCTGAATCTTTATATTATTTGTGTGTTCACAGTAAACAGCGGCTGTTTCCCCAAACAGCATTAACTGGTTGGACTTTTTAGTGGAGACTAATGTGTTTCCTGTGAGGTACGTGCAAGAAATAATCGTTGATAGATGCAGTCGGGCTACGCGGTAGCGTTGTTGCTTGAGGCACAATGCTGCAAGCCGGAATGTCGCGGGTTGAAGTCCCGATGAGGTATTTGGATTTTTCAGCCGCACCATGTTCCTAGGGTCGACTTATTCTCTAACAGAAATGAGTACCAGGAATCTTCCTGGGGGGGGGCGGTAAAGGGCGACCGGCGCGTAAGACTGACAACCTCAGCCATCTGTGAGCCTATTGTGTATAAAATGTGGGAACATCGACGTCTCACGAAACTATAGGCCTCCGCTGCCTGTTACAGGGATAGCTTGACCTTCTAGTGAACTTTGGTTTATGTTCACTCATAGACAATACAGTACGTGTTTGTTTTTAAGTTCTTAGTTGACACTTTATGGGTGCTGTGTCCCTGACGAAGGAACCGTATTTACGAACTTCCAGAAGTGTAACAGTAACTTAACTGAATAGGCTGGTCTAGCAGTAACGCTACCTAAGTTAAACTTAATTAAAAACTGCATCCTGTTAGAGTATTTTGTGTGTATTTGTTATTTTTAACAAAAAGGTAGCATAGTTTGGATTTGATATTAACATAGTTATTAATGTAATTTTATTCTTAAATTCCTAAATTAACTACTCGAATTATAATTTGACATACAGAGTTTGTTCTAAGTGAACTTAAAATTAGAAGTAGTTTTTGAGGTGTTCAGGTTTTTGTTGTGGTAGTAGTTATTAATTGATGAGTCCTAGGTCGACGCAATATGAGGTACCCTTCTCGGAAAATCTGTCGCGTTGATTTTTTTCTAATCGTGGTGTAATGGTCTCCAAAACGGGTTCTTCTCTATGTCACTCTGAGCTGGTTTTGTTTTCCTTATGTAGAGAATTTAAATGCTTGTATGTTACGTGTATGCGAAGGGATTCCCGTTCTTGTTGCGTTTTTCACTTTGCAGCCTTGTTTAAAAATTGGTGGAACTGAAGATAGCTGTATTACCGTCTGCGGAGAAGAAACATGCTCCATCAAGGCAACGTACAGTATCACGGCATGCACAGAGATAACCATTATACCATCAGACGTTTAAAACGTGACCCTTCAAGCGAGCTCTATTACATGTAAGTCTTGGGGCTGTCACGGTTTACGTGTGTTCACTTCTCAGTGATAACACAGTTTCACCAACGTTTATGAGAAATTTCAGTCTTCATATTTCGGCCGACGTATTTTATGTGAGAGACGTGACACGTGACCTTGAAGCTGGAATCTTCTAGTTTCTCTGGAACGTCAATAGACCAGTCCTGTTATCGCCCGAAAATGGAATGATAAGCATGTAATTTTTATTGTCTTTGAGTATTCAAAATCGATTTCAGAATTTCATTATCGGGCCCTCCTGTCCTCCCATCCTCTTATATCCAGAAGTTTCAGTAGAATAACCTTCTAACTATGTAAGATTTGAGGTTTTTACGGCGGTGACTATGAAGAAAGCAGTTTTCTGGGATGTGGCGCCGTGTAGATATTGTGTCTGTCAGCACCTGCCAACGCTGGTTCCTCACTCGAGGATTTTATTTTCTCTTCTATCTTGAAGATGAAGGCGATACGTTCCTCCGAAACGTCGGTTAACACAATATCTACACGGCGCCACATCCCAGAAGACGGTATTCATCAACCTTCTAACAAGATGTGCCATAGCTTAGGCGGTTAGTCGCCGGTTTTTCACTGCGGTGACCTGGATACGAATCCAGCTACTTTTATGTGGGATTTGTGGTGGACAATGTGATACTGGGGCAGGTTTTTCTCCAAGTACTACGGTTTCCCATAACAATTTTTATTCCACCAACTGCCCCAGACTTGTCTGTCGCCTGCCATCCGCGACATTGTGCATTAATAGGCATGTCATATTTAATTCCAGGGAGATGAACCCTACTTGAGGAGCCCTCAGTTGCGCAGCTACTCAAGAATTTCCCAAAATTTGTGGAACCCGAAGATTTATTATCGTATTCACAAGAGCCATCCACTGGTCCCTATCCTGAGCGGGAGCAGCCCAGTCGATATCACCCAATAGTATTTCTCTGAGATACATTTTAATATTATCCATCCACCCGTCCAAGTCCGAGGCCCTTCGTCACATTCCGTAAAAAGCTTATTTTTTAAGGTGAGGATTTGTTGGTTCCACACCCAACCCTCAAGCTGGAGGACCATCCCTTGTCGGCTGTCCGCGACTGCTTATTCAATATATTCCTAGTTAACCTTCATACCTTGAGGAAGTCTCCTCCATCCTAATCCTGAGGACATTCCATGCCATGGTGAAAGTTAAATCTTTCCTTAGAAGAGGCGGTGGAGGCCCATAGGGTTGTGAGACGTCGAGGCTCCCACATTCTCTAGACAATCGACTCACAGATGGCGGTGAGGCTGTCAGCTTTACGCACCGGTCACCCTTTACTCCCCAGGAAGATCCCTGGTTCTCATTTCTGTTAGAGACTAAGTCGACCCTAGGGCAATAATGTGGCTGGAAGAATTAGGTAAATTGAATCTACCTCTGCATCTTTGCAGGGATGTGGCGGCCCATGATGAGACGTGTCGAGGTGTGCTTTGAATCTCACGGAGGTCATCTTGAGCACTTGTTATGAATGTACTCTTTCTGATGTAACTCACAAATCAAATGTTTCCTGGCATATCTTGATATGGACATTTATTCTTGTAGCCAGGAACTCTGACCAATAGACAACAGAGGCGGTCGTTCTAATATCGAAAGATTCCAAAAATATTGTTATTATGCTTATTTGTTTCTAAATCAAATATTCTTATTTACTAAGGAACAGATTTATAACATCAGTTTTGGAAGATTGTCTTCTTCTGGGTTGTGGCGCCGTGTAAATTTTGTGTGAACCTTCTTTATAATTCGTCTTTGGGCTGTTGAATAAGCAAATAAATAAATAAATAAATAAATTAATTATTAAGCAGTGTAAATTACATTGTTTTTGCCTTTTTGTTTGTGTGTGTGTTTTTTTTTTAACTTTGCTCGCGCTTGCGTAGTAATTTCATTTCTGGCTCCTACTTCAGCACCTAAACAGACAAAGGTTTAACTGAATTTTTATATTCGCTGTTCAAAAATATATTTATATCCGTCAACCAACGGCATACCTTATCCTTCAGGCACGTAGAAAGTGCAATTTATATCACGTACACTTAATGCTTAAGATATGAATCAGGCTTGTGTTACGCTCACGTTTATCATAGTAAATTTTCCTATGCCATACCCACAACATATTTTCTGCTGTATCTTTTCAAAATTTACATAACAGACCCTGCACAGATTGTTTTAAAATTATTTTGGTATGCTTTTCTTTGCTTCCTTACTCACTAGTATCACTTCTATTCCATACGCGTCCCGCATCTGAATTGCAAATAG